GCCCACCTTGGCCTCCCAAAGTGCTGGGATTAAGTTAGCTGGGTGTGGTGGTGTGCACCTGTGGTCCTAGCTACTCAGAAGGCTGAAGTAAGAGAATTGCTTGAGCCTGGGAGGTCGAGGCTTTATTGAGCTGTGGTCAAGCCGCTGCACTCCAGCCTAGGCAACAGAACTGGACCTTGTCTCAAAGAAAATTAATATTCTCTTCAGTCTTGTCTTTTAATTCAGTGTTTCCTTGCTCTTGCTGTCTTGCATGCGATATTTCTTAGGTGCTTAGAAGAAGCTCTTAATCTCCTTATTGTTTGCTTACATCTCTCTATTTTTAACGTAAAACTGTCTCTCATCCTTTCAGACCTTCCTCCTTACCTCATTCTATCTGCATTTCCCATTACTTGCAGAATGGATTATCATTTTGGGTCCCAGGACTTATGGAGAACTGGAATAATAGCACAAAATTGTTTAGGGTACAATTTGAGTTTCAATGAGCTACATGTTTAGAATATACCTAATATTTATAATGTGTTTCTTTGATCTGAAAATGTCTTTTTATGTTTTCCCCTAAAATTTTGACCTTTCTGATACTGTGATAACCATATAATGGAAGTATTTCTTAAATAGAACTTATGTGTCTCAAGCTAAGCCTATCAGGAGGCAATGACCTCTCTTTCCTAGAGCTTGAATATACTCATGATTGTATTTGGTTTAGATACCAATTCCTGGATAAATACAGTTGTAGCAAGGGTGGCAGAGTTGGCTTTCATTAATGCAAATGGAAGAGAGTATAATGACTTTATATTAAAGCACCCTGGCCAGGTGTGGTGGCTCATGTCTGTAATCCCAGCACTTTGGGAGGACAAGGTATGGAGATCCCTTGAGGTCAGGAGTTTGAGACCAGCCTGGCCAACATAATGAATTCCCGTCTCTACTAAAAATACAAAAATTAGCCAGGTATGGTGGCACACACCTGTAATCCCAGCTACTCAGGAGGCTGAGGCAGGAGAAATCACTTGAACCCGGGAGGCAGAGGCTGCAGTGAGCTGAGATCATGCCACGGCACTCCAGCCTGGGCAACAGAGTGAGACTCTGTCTCAAAAAAAATAAATAAATAAAATATAGTAAAGCAACCCCTGAGACTGATTTCCTCAGAATGGGGCCGTGTGTGTGGCAGACCCTAAGCACTTTCTCCCTTACTTCCTTTTCTTTTTATGCATGGACATGAAGGGATCCTACTGTATACTTTCAAGTGTAGCACATAGTAGGCCCTTAAATATTTAATAAATGATTAAATGCCAGGGTTTATGGGAATAAGATGATTAGAGCTAACTTAACAAGCCCTTACTTATCAATTAATGCATTGATATGTAGCTTTACTAAAAGAACACATAATGCTTCCAATTGCTAAAAATAAAATTAGGTTCTTTCACTGCATTTGAAATTATGTAGGCTTTCATTTCCAAGGTTATTTCTCAAACACATAAACGTACAAAGTTGTCCTCTAGACCCAAATATCAAATAAAAGCATTTCATTAAAATTATAGTGTCTTTTATCATAAAGTCTTCCTGGTCTTTACTGTGTATTTCTTAGCCTGTAGTCATTTAAATTTAGGACAAGCACAGTAATGTCTTTTAAT